GCCAGGGCCTCAGGGACTTGTTGGAGCTGCAGGAAAGGTCCGCCGCGGCCTGAGTGGCGCCTGGGAGCTGCAGGGGAGGGTTTGGCGAGTTTTGCGGGCTGGCAAACGGCAGCCTTGAACGTCCTTAAAAGGACACTGCAGGGCCTCAGGGACTTGTTGGAGCTGCAGGAAAGGTCTGCCGCGGCCTGAGTGGCGCCTGGGAGTGCCGCGGCCTGAGTGGCGCCTGGGAGCTGCAGGGGAGCGTTTGGCGAGTTTTGCGGGCTGGCAAACGGCAGCCTTGAACGTCCTTAAAAGGACACTGCCAGGGCTTCAGGGACTTGTTGGAGCTGCAGGAAAGGTCTGCCGCGGCCTGAGTGGCGCCTGGGAGTGCCGCGGCCTGAGTGGCGCCTGGGAGCTGCAGGGGAGCGTTTGGCGAGTTTTGCGGGCTGGCAAACGGCAGCCTTGAACATCCTTAAAAGGACATTGCCAGGGCCTCAGGAACTTGTGTGGGGAGCGTTTGGCGAGTTTTTGCGGGCTGGCAAACGGCAGCCTTGAACATCCTTAAAAGGACACTGCCAGGGCCTCAGGAACTTGTTGGAGCTGCGGGAAAGGTCTGCCGCGGCCTGAGTTGGGAGCTGCAGGGGAGGGTTTGGGGAGTTTTGCGGGCTGGCAAACAGCAGCCTTGAACGTTCATAAAAAGACGCTGCCAGGGCCTCAGGGACTTGTTGGAGCTTCAGGAAAGGTCTGCCGCGGCCTGAGTGGCGCCTGGGAGCTGCAGGGGAGGCTTTGGCGAGTTTTGCGGGCTGGCAAGCGGCAGCCTTGAACGTCCTTAAAAGGACACTGCCAGGGCCTCAGGGACTTGTTGGAGCTGCAGGAAAGGTCTGCCGCGGCCGGAGTGGCGCCTGGGAGCTGCAGGGGAGGGTTTGGAGGGTTTGAGGCCTGGCAAACGGCAGCCTTGAACGCCTATAAGAAGCAATTGCTGCGGCCGTGGGGTGCTCTTGAGCCATTGCTGTGGCCTTGTGGTGACTTTTGCGTGCGAGAGTGGCGCATGTTGGGCGGACGGTTTGGAGGGTTTGAGGCCTGGCAAACGGCAGCGTTGAACGCCTATAAAAGAAGCCATTGCTGCGGCCGTGTGGTGCTCTTGAGCCATTGCTGTGGCCTTGTGGTGGCTTTTGCGTACGGGAGTGGCGCGTGTTGGGCTTGTTGGGGTACCTTTTCCCTGCGGAGCTGGCCGGACTTTTGGAGGGTTTGGAGGGTTTTGGAGGGTTTGAGGCCTGGCAAACGGCAGCCTTGAACGCGTATAAGAAGCCAGTGCTGCGGCCGTGGGGTGCCCTTGAGCCATTGCTGTGGCCTTGTGGTGGCTTTTGCGTGCAGGAGTGGCGCGTGTTGGGCTTGTTGGGGTACCTTTTCCCTGCGGAGCTGGCCGGACTTTTGGAGGGTTTGGAGGGTTTTGGAGGGTATGGAGGGTTTGAGGCCTGGCAAACGGCAGCCTTGAACGCCTATAAGAAGCCATTGCTGCGGCCGTGGGGTGCTCTTGAGCCATTGCTGTGGCCTTGTGGTGACTTTTGCGTGCGAGAGAAAGAAGCCATTGCTGCGGCCGTGTGGTGCTCTTGAGCCATTGCTGTGGCCTTGTGGTGGCTTTTGCGTGCGGGAGTGGCGCGTGTTGGGCTTGTTGGGGTACCTTTTCCTTGCGGAGCTGGCCGGACTGTTGGAGGGTTGGGAGGGTTTTGGAGGGCTTTGGAGCGTTTGAGGCCTGGCAAACGGCAGCCTTGAACGCGTATAAGAAGCCATTGCTGCGGCCATGGGGTGCCCTTGAGCCATTGCTGTGGCCTTGTGGTGGCTTTTGCGTGCGGCAGTGGCGCGTGTTGGGCTTGTTGGGGAACAAGAGAGGGCTCAGTGCAGGCAAAGGGCAGGCTGCAATGCTGGAACGCTGACGGCCAGAGGGCTTGGTGGCAGCTGCCGCGAGGTGGCAGCTGCCGCGAGGGATGTGCAGGCAAAGGGCAGGCTGCAACCCTGGAACAGCAAAGGCTGCCGGCCAGAGGGCGTGGTGGCAGCTGCCTCGAATGCCCTAACGAGAGAGGGCTATGTGCAGGCAAAGGAGGGTTTGAAGCATTTTATGGGTTTGAAGCCGGTAAACGGCAGGCTCGAATGCCCTAACGAGAGAGGGCTATGTGCAGGCAAAGGAGGGTTTTAAGGGTTTGAAGCGTTTGAAGCCTGGCAAACGGCAGGCTCGAATGCCCTAACGAGAGAGGGCTATGTGCAGGCAAAGGAGGGTCTAAGGGTTTTAAGCGTTTGAAGCCTGGCAAACGGCAGGCTCGAATGCCCTAACAAGAGAGGGCTATGTGCAGGCAAAGGGCAGGCTGCAATGCTGGAACGCTGACGGCCAGGAGCTTGGTAGAAGCTGGCAAACGGCAGGCTCGAATGCCGAACAAGAGAGGGCTAAGTGCAGGCAAAGGGCAGGCTGCAATGCTGGAACGCTGACGGCCAGGAGCTTGGTAGAAGCTGCCGCGAGGGATGTGCAGGCAAAGGGCAGGCTGCAACCCTGGAACAGCAAAGGCTGACGGCCAGAGGCCTTGGTGGAAGCTGCCGCGGAGGGTTTGAGGGGTTTTAAGGGTTTGAAGGCTGGCAAACGGCAGGCTCGAATGCCCTAACGAGAGAGGGCTATGTGCAGGCAAAGGAGGGTTTGAGGCATTTTATGCGTTTGAAGCCTGGCAAACGGTAGGCTCGAATGCCCTAACAAGAGAGGGCTATGCGCAGGCAAAGGGCAGGCTGCAATGCTGGAACGCTGACGGCCAGGAGCTTGGTGGAAGCTGCCGCGAGGGATGTGCAGGCAAAGGGCCAGGCTGCAACCCTGGAGCAGCAAAGGCTGACGGCCAGGCTTGGTGGAAGCTGCCGCGCACACTTAAAGCCCGCGCGGAAAAGTTCCACACCTGCGGTGGTCCCAGGCGCCGCCCCGGCCTTGGCGAAGGCCGGGGTCGGCGGATATACACAATATACATCGCTATATATATATATATATTATATATATAGTGTATATACAATATATATATATAGATAATATATATATATATAATATATATATACTGGCCGCCGTTTAAGCATCCACATTTTTCCCCTTTTTTGTAGAAAAAATATTGGCTTCTCGTGTAAAAATTTTGGTTTCTCGTGTGTTTACTTGCCGAGTGAAAAAAAATGACAATATGCCTATCTGGCCAGCTATGCCAACGACGAGTAGACTACTACTACTACGACGACTACTACTACTACTACTACTGCTACTACTACACTACTACTACTACTACTACTACTACTACTACTACTACTGACTACTACTACTACTACTGCTACTACTACTACTGACTAACTACTACTAACTACTACTAACTACTACTACTTACTACTACTTACTACTACTTACTACTACTTACTACTACTACTACTACTACTACTACTACTTTTACTACTACTACTACTACTACTACTACTAAGAGACTACTACTACTACTACTACTCCTACTACTACTCCTACTGCTTACTACTTACTACTTACTTATACTACTTACTACTTTTTACTTTCTACTTTAGACTACTATCTACTTTCTACTACTACCCCTAACTACTGACTACCCACTACCCACTAGCTGCCTAGCTA